ATAGGGTATTTAAAAACTTATTCTTGGTATAGTAGCAACTAGCAAGTTTGCAAGTTGTAGGCGTTGAGCGTTTTTAAACCTTTTTATCGGGACGCAAATCACCAAGTTACAATAATTTCGTGCATATGGACTTATTACCATTGACTATAAATACTAATAGTACTATACCATACTATTTATAATCAGTGCTATTACCTACGCACCAAATATTTTAGCTCTAGCAAAGAGCATTTTTTTGGAGGAGGGGGGCAGATGGTTCGTATATAGTCTCAAATTAAGATAATAGTTGGTCTCCTTCATATAGTTTGAATAATACATATTTTTAAACAATTAGTGTAGTTTTGGCGAACAGGGATGTGCAACAAAACGTGAAGTAAAAAAAAAACTAGAAAATCACGCAAACGATGTTGTTGTCGACGTCTCGACGAATCGGAGTGTGGTGCATCAATATAGCTGACACGATGTGTCGATGTCATATTGCTAGCAATTAAAATAGGCATCTAGAACAGATGGACATTTAGAGTCGATAATATCGGAAAATTGTTTTCATTCAAGGCTATAATTATAGGTGCATGGACGTGTCAGTGAGTCGACGGCGGGCAGGAAGGTTTCGGTCAAACCGTTAGCCATAACATATCGTACGCATTGCGTGCAGATGCCGAAAACTAGACGAGTGTCGACGACGGTCGAAAACTTATAAACTAGATTATTATGTAATATCGCGTTATAATATGAAGTACGTATGTAGGCTCTTTGAAGTCCTTCACGGCGGCGGCGGTGAAACCTTTTGCCGGATAATAAAGTCCTCGGCGGCGGCGGATATCCTCAGTCGCCGCAGCAGAACGACGGGGTTTCGGTCGTGCGATCGGGGTCACGCACGCGCGGTCACAAAAAACTATATACTTGCCGTGTTTGATAAGAACCCCTCCGTCGCCCCTCCCGCGGACATGGGTCCACCCGCCGCGGTGTGTGTACAAATGCGTATTCCTCGTGCTCTTTTCGTGGTAATACGTTATTACCGAGTTGTGTTGTAGGTACGTACAGTGGATATATATCACGAGGTTTAGGATTATTATAATATATAATATCATTGTATATCGTACGCATAATATAGTATACGAGTACGTACATGCGTGGATATTTTTTTTTACCTCTGCACTTTCGTCGGGTCGATAAGTCATCGTTCTCCGCTTAGTTCTTCCGTCGCAATCCTGCGCAGTGTTTGTTTACCTTATATTATTATTTTTTATTCGTCTTCGCAGCGAGTATTACGTCACATCGTCGTCGGCCGATTGTTAACACAATGCTCGCATTATTCACCTGATACTTTTTCTCCATCTGCGTATTATACACACCGCAGGTATAGAGTATACGCATTATACGTATTACCTATACATTTGTACGTCTATACTTGTATATTATACACAAATACTACATACATACATAAGCAATACGCACATACAAGTACATACACCCGACTACCAGAGCAAGCGTGTTTGCATTTGTTTGCTTGTTTTCCATTTGGTTTTTATTACTTTTTTTCCCTGTCCATTTTTGTATCGTGTATAGGTACGCATGCATGGGCACGTATATGTATACCCGAGGTCTCTTCTAACGAGCTACTTTAAATCGTCCGAGGAAGAACAAAACCGGTAAATTAGTCTTCCAAGATGTTTATCCTTGATGTAGGAGGGAGGGCGGACAACACGCCTCTGTGTGGTGATTTATGCGCTCGGGTTTTTCCTGCAGCAGAAGGGACGTTCGTGAACAGACAGCTTGGCCGTATCATGTAGCCGTCGTTGCCACCGCCACTTTAACCGATACCACGGTATAGTCGGAATGAAAGTTGTAGTTCCTAAATGTCCTTTACGGTTTCCAGTATTCTTCCTGAGTCCTGTGCGTGAAATCTGTTGTAGTGTTTGCACGGTGGTCGGGAACTAGGAAGACGAGAACCGAAGATGCCCAAGAGGAAATCGCATGCCTTTTAAATTGTTTAAAGGCTTATCACGATTTTTTGTTCGATGCGCCTTTACTCCTTTTTGAATCATTTAGGACCCGCTAACAAACCCGCTGTTCAACCGCCAAATCATATATTCATAAGTTGTTTTAATAAATTCAATTTCTTCTAAACACGTCCACGTTGCATGTAAAATGCATATATTATTATATATATGCATTTATATATTATTTTCTCGATTTAATCGCCGTCGTGACTCATACCAGCCACCGACCGGTTGTTTTTCATAGCAAATGATCGCTTGCGTCCGATCGCCGCCGACACAAGTCTCGATGAGACCAATTATTATTATAATATACGTAGCGAAATTATTATTATTATACTATTGTTGGTTTTATACGGGTATCGAAGGTTAGATGCGCATCGGTTATAACGGCCGGAGAAAAATAAATAGAAATCGTGGTTGCGTTTACAATAATATTATGCTTATGCAGGTTCAATTATTTCCAGTAAATATTGTCCCTGTGCAATCATACAGGAAGGGGCGATATAGTTTGATAAAATATTTTGAAAACTATATTGATAAATGATAATGTATTAATGTGCAGGCTGAATTTAATATTATATTAGTTGTATTGCATTTTTTTAGAACTATGTAAATGTTTATTTTAATCGCTTACTCATCATTTTAAAATTGTAAACATTATGTTCAAATAAAATATAAATTATCATAATAATTGATTTCAGCAATGGTGAAAAAAAAATTAAAAATATTTTATCATTTTGTTGAAAGTATTTGGTATTATCTTGTTTTACGGCAAAGCAATTTTAGAAGTATAACACGAATTGTATGAATTTAGTTCTAATAAAAAAACTCGACTATTATTCTACAGACTACTATTGGTGTCTGGGTGATATAAGTTCGGATAAAATGGGAAATTTATGTGTGTTAATTTCAAATTGTACAGCGTATACTGCGTGATACTGTATACATTCTACTTTAATCATTTTGATGATAAATGGGTAAAATTTTAGTAACCGTACTTTTAAAGTTTCACAACAATGTAGACTAGTATCTTGTGTGAAACAGTTTGTATATATACCTAATGTTATTCTATTCAATATGCACCTTTAATAAATAATCATATTTTATTTACGATTCAAAATGTATTTATTTTTAGAAGATAAAATATTTTATTTTTCCGGGTACAAATTTCAATTTTTTAATGCTTTAAATAATATCGAATTTTCTTAGATGATACAATATTGACATTTTATTGATTCATTATAAACTAATTCACAATTGGTAATCTAGCTGTTGTTATAGTAGGTACCAACCTATTTATAAGTCATACATTTTACTGACAAGCTCATGTCTCACTTTAGGCTATTGACCGTTACATACAGTTTGTTGTTATAATATTACACATGATTGTAGAGTTAGTTTTCATGATGTTTGTTATATTATAAATTATCATTTCTAATCAGAAAATTTAAATGCTTAATTTTTCAGCCTTAATTTGTAATAAAAATAAAAAAAATAATTTTTATAATATTGTAAGTACCTATATAGTATATAGATTGTAATTTGTATGATAATAATATACAAAAAATGTATACACGAATAGTATATGTATATACATATTATATATGGTTTATGACCTATAAATAAGTAATATAAATGTTAATCTCTGCAGTAGTTTACAGTCGAAAAAGTATATATATTTGTCTCTGAGTTCTGAAAGTTTATACAAAATGAAAAAAACGCTTGTACGCATTTTCATGGGAAAATTGAATTCATACGATTATTACCATCATCATGATGTCATTTGGCAGCTGTACAAATACACTGTGTCACCATGGCCTAAGTTAAAAAAGCTGTTAGGAACCAAAGATCGCAGTGTTGACACTTTAAAAAAATCTGTACAATCATATGAGTGAACGGATATTTTTTTCATGCACCATGGATTTTTTTCCTTAAGAGGACGTGATACCCAAAGCGTTACGCATACAACGACCGAGAGAAAGCGCTTTTAGGTGTTTTCAGGATCCGCAAGCACGCGATGCGCGTCGCGTATGCCACGCCTACGGCCTATTACTCGCAGTCGGCGGCAGCGCTCAATCTGGTCTCGGGAACGCCGGTTATTATTCGATGATCGTTTGACCATGACGGATCGCGTCAATATATTATTAATACAGACACGTAAACGCCACGGTATTATTTTCAATAACCGCGCGTACCCATTCGAACTATTTTTTTTTTTGAAGTTACAGATTGTAAAAACTGTAATATAGCATAGCTTAATTTGTAGTTATTGCACTATTACTCATTCAAATATAATACATACTGTATAAAATAATTTAATAGTACCTAAATAAATACATATTTTACCTTCAACTGTTCAATATTATCTTACTTTTTTAATATGATAATAAGTAAAACCAAACATTTTTTTAAATAATAAATAATAATACCTTTAATGTACACTCGTAGATACGATAATAATGCTCTAAGAAATGTTTTTAGCTTTAGCATCCATATTCTTTGTAGATTGGGTCTACCTTTACTGCCTAAAATTAACTAACTTAAAATGTATAATTGTAAATTATGTAAACAAATGTAATATAAATCGTACCAAAAAAAATATACAAAAGTACACCAATATTTTAACTGCTTACCTAAATATATATTCCAATATATAGATCGTATAGAAACTGTATTATAACATCATATTCGATGATCGTTTATCCGTGACGGATCGCATCAATATAAAATTCACGCCGCGGTATTGTTTTTAATATCTACGCGTACCAATTTGAATTATTTTTTGTAAAGTTACGGCTTACCTAAATATATGTACCATTGTATAAGTACATAGTATAAACTACAATATATGAAAATGCAGTTTCTATTCTCCAATGTATAATAAAAATTAAAACAAAATACCAAGTTTAAGTTTAATTTTGGTACGTTATGTAGGTATAAATAAATAATAAATACTTATTTTTTTGTTATATAATAATATAATATGTACAATGTGGGTCATTTGTTACCCAATTTATTATTTTTAATTTTTTTATAATTTTCGATATATTCTCTGATGTGCGCAGGTTCATATATGTCGCTTTTCAACAGTCGTTTACTATATTGAGGGTCGATAATTTCCCGAAGTAAACATTCTTCGTAAAATCTATACAACAAACATTTTAGTAGTTAGCCTAAAATAATAAAACCAATTTAAAAATACATACAATTTTAATTTTTTTTCCATTGTTGTACTCCAAAAAACGTTATCATAGTGTATAATTTCTAAATGTGTCCATTCAGGTGTATAAATAAAAAAATAACACTTGTGACGTTCTGTGATGTGCATTTGGCCCTGTATTTGAAAATAATAAAGATTGTCTTTCTTTAATTGATAGACACCGTTTATTTCACATATGTAAGGAAGCTACAAAAAAAAAATTAATTAGTTTTAATATTATTCGGTATTTAATATTCACACATTTTCTAAGATCAATGCTCATACACTGTTAATTTGTTAACATATTTTACCAACAACATTTATTTTTGAAGTACTTAACCTTTTTTTCTTGTAAAGCTTGCTCCAAAGTGTCACTGTCTTTTACCGAATAAGGGCATTTTATTTCGGCGATTGAGTTGCTTCCAATTAAACCATCTATGATAAGTGATAACATTATATTGATACATAAAAACACATTTATTTTATGAATGAGAATTAAGATAATATTTATGTAAATTCTGTTAGCGCTGTTAGAATATTATATAGGTACCTGGTGTTGCTGCCAAATATGGTATGAACTTATCAATAAATAGGCCACATTTCTGAATTTTACAGTTTATTTTAAATTCTAGACATTTTAGTGCAGTTTCTTCAGTCTGTTTACCATAAATAAGTGATTTTGAAGTAGGATTATTGTATAAAATATCATAAACCGTGGATTTGCATGATGTCTGAGGCCGCAGTTTGCAAATTCGACCAAAATTTGATGCGGTTAATCTATTTCTCCTCTCAATAAACCACCTTTGACTATTCGCTTGATGCATTGTCTCACGTTCCAATGTGTGTCTATCCGCCTCTGTCATAGTCAATGATAAAATAAATTCGTCCTTCTTTTTTTTTATAACAGCATCTGGCAATATGTCTAATAAGGGTTCAGCCAAACCATAAAATTCGTCAGGTCCTTGAGAAATTTTTTTTTTTAAATATTTTCCCGATGATTTAAAAAGTGCTCTTCGCATTTTTAAATTTCTTCTTTTGTCTGAAGTATATTTAAGAAATTTTTTCGCTATAATTCCTAGAAAAAACAAGATTAGATAGAAAAAGTCGCGATTGCCTGTTCACTATTTCAGGATTTTTTTCTAGAATTTATTAAATAACACGTTATACCTATATTATTTTATACTATAATGTATAATGTATAGTATTATGTATTCACTAATATAGGTCATAAATAAATGTTTAACCTGGACTTTTGTTTGTGATTTTTTTATGCATCGTACGAATAAAATTTCCTTTAGAATTAAATGACACAATTGCTGCTTGAACTCTGATGTTGTAGGATTGCTTTTGGCTAAAATTGATCCTCTTGCCTGCTATGTGTTTATTTAAGATGCTGTTAAGTTGTTCGCAATAGTTATTATCAACGTCATGAATAAGGCTTTTTGAATTGTCAGCTACTCGACGTAAAACAAACTTAATATCGTTCATCAGGCCACATTTGTTAATTTCAGATACCAAGTCCTTCTCATTTAACTTTGGTCCTGAACAGAAATAACTTTCACATTTGGAATGGTGGCCGAAAATATGATAAGGTCCATTTAATATATCGTTCCGTAAACCTAACCAATTATAATTATTTATTACAATTATTTTAGAATAGGTACCTATATTTATACGAAGGGATCTAAATATAAATTAATCCATTTTACCTTCGATTTTTTCTTGCATAGTATCATTCAAATTTTTTCTATGAGTTATCGCTTTAGTCACAGCCGTTCGAAATCTCAATATATTTCTGCTTATAAATTTTCTTAAATAACAAGGATAATCCGTTTTTTTGGTAAGACCCATAAGCTTTTGGCCATAATTTCGTAGAATGTGGTTTCGGCATTCAATTTTTTCTACTAATAACATCGGACCATATGGCATCACTTCATTTAACTTTTTAGTAACACTACTATCGCCATCCCCTATAGAGTATAATACAATTATTAATTACTAGTGCTCGGATTAAAAAACAATACTAATTTAGTTGGTACTAACCGATCAATTTATTGTACTTTAGGCCATGGATTGAAATACTAGACAAAAACCCTTCTATAATTGCATCAGCCTCGATACTTGTAGCACCTTTTGACCAATTTAAAAAACACTCGTGAGAGTTCGGTGACTTATCAAGTACTTTGGCTCTCTCACATATAACACAGTAGCGGTTACGAATTCCCACAAACAATATTTTTTTGGTTCGATATCCGATGATTGTAGCCTATGATTTAAATTTTTTATTAGGTAATTTATTAATTATTATTATTATTGTTTATCTATTTATTTTTTTTATTATCTAATAAGTATAATTAACTATAATGAGAATATGAGATATTATAATTTATAAAATTATAATGAAACCCAACCAATAAAATTATTAATATTAATTATTTATAATATACTAATATACATAACAATAATATATCAGTTAGAACATAAACATGTTAAGAAAAAAGTCTACATGGCAATTATAAGTTTAAAAAACAGGGATAAACACCATAAAATATATAATATTAGGCTCAGCAATACTATATAGTATTTATTTTATTTCTTACCGCTCCTGATAACGCGTCGTACTTCGTTTTGTAGCTCCTTTTACTCCACTGTCCATCAGCTATGACTGGACACATTGGAATGCCATCTTCATCAATATCACCTACCTCTAATGCCAACCTTTTCTCTTCCATACCGGCTAATCTCATTTCATCCCATGCACTACTTTTTATATCTGCACCTACTATGTTGTTATATTTCAAGTATATTTTAGCGGTCATACATGGTATGTCGATAGAAGCTGTAAGTTCGGCTAGTTGGGTGAATCCTATGCCAGTTGCAATAGTGCCATTTACTACCGCTTTGTTGATGGGAATTATTTCTAGATCTCGTTTTTCCGAGGTAATAACGGTTTTAAGATTACACATTCTACACTGAAATTTCCAACTACACTCGAAACCTTTGGTTGACTCACTTATAAAATCTACATCCATAAATGAACAACCTAGACCAGGCGTATGTTGTTTAGAATTTTGAATTTGGTAAAATACATGAGACATATCCACAATGCGGCGCCCTTTGAGAGGAAATGTCAAATCACTAAACAAAACACACAAGAAAAATCAAACAGATAAATCATTGTATACGAAGAAAAACGATTCATGAATACTCCATTAAGGCCTATATTTTATCTAATGCTCCCCAGTAAATTCTAAATTTTTCTAGTACATAAGTACATTATAAAATATAAAAAAAACGGGTAAGTGGATGTCGCTCTGCTGTGCAGTGTTACTACATATTATATAGTGGGTCACTCTAATGCATGGTGTTAAATTTGAATTGAATGATATATCATTGTATACGAATAACGATTCTGAGCGGAGACAGTTTGTCGGTCTAGGATATTTTATAAATTTTTTTTTTTTATTAAAGTAAAAAAAAATATACAATCTATATAACATAAATACAATAAGTAATTTGGATAACAATTTTTACCAGTCTGGACGGCTTGAGAGAAGGGAGAGTCCATTGACACTACTTCCAATATGAACTTAATTTAAATTTAATTTAATTGATAAATGTTGTCAAAATTCGATCTTTAAATGCTTATAAAAAAAAATTGTGCTTATGTATTTTTAAAATTTTTCAATTGCTATTGTAACAATCTATCAGGACCCTCGTATTAAATTTTTACACTTTTTGGCCCAACAGATAAAACTTTATTGATATTTATAGAAAAGAAAACTAAAAAAATTGAAAACTGAAAATGTCTGTAAACAGCTCAAAAAAAATCAAAAAATTTTCAGTCATTTGTTTTAAAGTTACACCAAAAACCAAATTCGATTTTGTCAAAAACCGATTTTGCGTAAAAATTCCCGTTTTTCCTTAATTTTTATGTTGTTTTTCCCGGCGCTTGTGAAAACTATTGGGAATTTTAAATTTTGACCTCCCCAATGCACCAACGATATTCACTTTCCAATCGAACAAGATACTGAAGTCGAAAATCGAAGCATTTTTTCGACTACTTATCGTGTACACAGACACAAAAAAAAAAAACACACATCATTGTAAAATCAATACATTCATCGTTTCACTCAGAATCTAAAATAGTAAAATTACAAAATAAATATCAAATATTCGTGATTATGACGAATTTTGTCAATATTTGAACTTCCAACACTTATATTCCTATATATTTGAATCATTTTTTCATCACTCATAGATCAACTTATGAAAACCTTCTAATAAATTTTCAAGTATTTTGACTTGGCCAAAAAAATTAAATCGAAATTTATAAATAAATATAGACATTGTATATTATATTATATTACAGACTTACGACTCTATGGTACTATCATTTGAAGTTTCTATCACATGATTTTCTATTGTAGAATAATCAATCTCAGTGAGATCTGTCATCATGATATTTTGTGTAACTGATTGAATCCTGCGATTTAATGTAATATTATAATTAAAATAATATTAAAAAAAAAAAATAATTATAACTTACGGGCTTATAGTTTCGTCAAAAATATCAATAGAATTGAGGGGTACATCAAATTCTGATATTACAGCATTACTATACATCATAATATAATATAATAATTATTATTAGTAGATTTATATTGAGTCTATAGACTATAGTATTATTTCGTCTAAAATAAACTTCAACGCCTCCTCAAAAACTTTTTTTTTGTGGGGAGTGATAAACAAATAATATAGAGTATAGACATAGACATAGTAACACTATGTTATATTATACTACTATATTATATATTTTGTACACTTACGACTCTATACTTTCATTTGAAGGTTCTATAACATGATTTTCTTCTGTTGAAGAATCGATCTCAGTGTAATCTGCAGTTATCATGACATTATTTGTAACTGTTTGAATCCTGCGATGTAATTTTATTTAAAATAATAATAATCATAACAATAATAATAATATACAAAACTTACCTCTCTTTTTTGTTATAACGTTTTAGTATTAGATTACGAGAGATTATTTTCTTTTGCGAACGTTTAGTTCGTTTACTTTTGTTAGCCATATTCAAAATATTTAAATATCAAATATGACAATGACGTGTATATTATATAAAATATCTTGCAATTTGCAAAAGACAAACAAAGAACCGTGCGTTGCTATTACAGCGTGACAGTGGCACGATCCAAATCATATAAATATTATTTTCTTCGCAATTATAAAATTACAATATCGCGGTGTGTATGTGGAATGAGTCGGTGGGGGGGGGGGGTCACACTAATTGCCCTGTTTTCCACTAGGGACAGCACGCACTACTACGTAATATGAAATGGTTGTATAAAATATTGAAAGTCTAATAATTATTATTATTATTTATGCCGCCCAGCCGCCGCGCGCCGTTATCTACAATTTTGCGATATTATTTATAGTTCGTCACGTCTGGCGGTGGGCACTAATGACTAAATCGTCAAAAACCAGTTATGGTAGAGTTTGATTCACGGGTCGGGGGTGTAACGAGCGTTATCGAACTCTGCCGTTACGGAAACAGAGCAGCACTTGTCGGCCGTAAATTAAAAGTAATTTATGCGATTTTCTTATAAAACATGTTTTGCGCGTTCCAAGAATATGGATTTCTGAGTGGTTTTTTTGTAAAAATACCTATATCAAAAAAGAAAGCTGACAAAATTTTGAAGATAACCTCATATCCGTTTTTGATTACTTAAATTATTTCTTGACTAATTAAATGTATAAATCTCCATTTATTTTACTTTTTTTAATTAACTGTAAGTTTCTTACTATAAGGTATTTTGAAAAAAGGATATGAGGTTATCTCCAAAATATTGTTAACTTTAAAATTTATTATAGGTGATTTTGCTCTAAATCCACTATTCGACGAGTAATCACTATTCTCCGCAAGGATGTTTTTACACTTCAAAATTGGTGGTATCACGTCCTCTTAATGCACACTGTCTACAGCATATACCACAACAAATCTTATGACCACACACGATATTATAAGTTATCTGCAGAATGCCAAATGTCACACAAAAGATTTGTGATCACCAGCATTATCAACTCGGTAATGGGAAATTTATCGTTTTTTTTTATTTCCCAGAGATACACGAGTTCAAATTAATCGAATGATATTGTAGCTAATGACTTTTTTTACTTATCTCATCGTACTTCAGTTATAAAGTTGGTGATACACCAAGCATGATTTCCCTCCAATTTTTCCATTAAATTATCCATTTATTCAAATTCTGAATTTTTAATTTTCGAGTTAAGATACTTCGGGACGATATTTTTAAATATTTACTTAGATTTTGATGTCATTTAAAGTTTGTCTTGTGGTGATACAAAGTACAAACCTTTACTTCTCAAATGAGTAACTTCTTTTAACTGTAAATTGTTATGCACATGATTCTTACGAAATGTTGATGACTGATGTATATAAATTGAAATGTTTACAAGTAATTATTGAGTTATTACATTTTATATCAAAAAGATACAGTAGTTTTTAACATAGAATTTGTCAAACAATATTTTTATTATAGGTATTTGTAGTCTACTGTCCAGTACTTATCGTATTCAGTAATCAAACTGCTTTTACAAATAATTTATAAAAATGTAATAATTATTATAATTTTAAAATAATCCAAATTATCATAACTCCCATTTATGAATATATTTTAAGGGGCTTGGGTACCGTGCTTTTCTGTCTTTGTCTAACACATGCGAGACATACGATTTTCTACTAATTTTGCTTTCAATCAGTCTTTGTGTTAAAGTGATAACAATTCTAAAAATTAATTTGAATTCAGCGTGAAATCTACTTGAGATCGGTAGTGCCACTTTTTCAATTTTATTTAATAATATTTTTTTAACATTTTTATACAAGATTTAATATTTTTCAAAAACCTTCAATTAAATTTGTGGAATTTTGAGGTCAAAATTCAAAAATGTAATCCGATCGATCTTAAGTAGTCTTCATGCTGAATTCAAATACATTTTCTGAATTTTGATTGCATCAATACAACGATTGGACTGATTGAAGTAAAATTAGTAGAAAATCGTATGTCGCTCGTGTGTTAGACAAAGGCAGAAAATCACGGTATCAAATTGCCTTAAGCACATTATTATAGCCCATGGGCTATACTATTCTTACAACACAGTTTAATAACCCATAGAAACTACTTGTTAACATTTTGAATCATATACATCAATATTTCTAATAAAACAATATGCTTGATAATAATTTACAGTAAGTAACCAACAAAAAAAATATTTTTCATTTGAAAAAAAGAAGTTTTTCAACAGTACAGTCCTTAATTGATATAAATATTCAAGGATTTTAAAATTTGGTCAACTCAAAAAAATTCTAGTTATATTACTTTTTAGTATGCTTACAAATGCCAATACTCTGAATTTCAATAAATACATTGTTAAAGGATACAATATATTGGGTTGAGGAATTTGCTTCGTGAAACCTATTGTAGGCACCTAGTATATTGTACAAATATTTTGAAATTACGAATGCATTGGTCAGAACCATTTTATTCAATAGGTGCATATTAATATTAATAATAATTGCCAATTAAAAAAATAAACCTTAACCTTGCACATTTTATCTTAATGAAATATTCATGCGAAATATATTATATTATATTTTAAACACACATAGTATAATATACACGTAATAAGGTACATCAGTGACTACAGTAGCTATATATATATATATATGCAGTTTACACGAGCACGAGAGTATTATATAATGCTTATATTGTACTTGAACAGGTGACATATACGTCTTAAATCCGTTTTGTCCCGTGCATAATATAATTATAACTACACAACCTACCAGTGTACGGTGTACCTACGAATCAAATTTGTAAATTATATTATGTTATTGATACATGCGTTTTATTATTTCCAAGAAACACTAAAATAACTATAACATTAATATCATACCCGTTTCGTTCATTCACATGCATAATCAACCATCAAACGATAATTTTGACCTTAAATTCTAAATTCGAATACGCGTGGCTTAATGAATGTTACGTAACTATCGTTATTACTGCAGTAATATACCAATACAAAACTGTTTTGTCATACCTAATAATATATTTTCTTAAACTAATTGTCTGGATATTATATTTTATATTATTTTATAACGTTATACCTAGTAGTAGTTATACAATCGTCTGTCGTTGCAATTACTGGTAGCTTTGCAGTAATATTATGGATATGCAAGTATTTAGTGGATTGAAGTAAGGGATCTGACGGGACATTCTTTGGTATACTATTTTATTTTTTTACATTCTTTGCTATGTATGTATAATGTAGGTATTAATGTACACTAGTAGTCGAAAACAGTGGTTAAATAATATCTTAAAATTAAGACGAAATTTATTCGACTTAAGCAATAGTGAGAATTGAGTAAATCTTCATTGAGTCACAATGATAATATTATGTCCATTTTATACCAAAGTGGATGATACAAAATATAATCTTACTATTGTATTTCCAACATTTATGATTTATACCGCAATAAGATTAAAGTTTAATCATACTGTTTCTGCAGATGAAAAGTACCTACCTATTGTAGAAAGAGCTTTCTAAATTCTCTCAAGGAATAAAATCAAGTACACACTGAAAACAATTTATAATGTAATGGTGATGTGTACATATTATATATACCTATAAGGCTATAACCAATATTGTTTTATATTTTCCTAGCAAACTATTAGTCAATTTGTTGTTATTTAAATATTAAAAAATAAAAATTTTCAAACTTTCTGAGCTTATAACTTTTAATAGGAAAATATGGCTTACGCAATGTCCATAATTTGGTGTATGAGCAAAATATTAAAAATAAAATATTATAATAACAAATAAAAATATGATATTTTCAAAGCAAGTTTAGTAAATACCATACAAATATATTTTATGAATTTATAAATTGTACGGCAATTGTTGGTAATTTCAGACCGTCATAGTTGATTGCTAAATGTTAACTAAATATATTTTACTTTAACATTATATCTGATCATATAAATTGGACGAATGTGAGATTCTAAAACAATTCAGTTTTTAATGGATACAAAAAGGATTAATCGTTTTATGAATAGCAAAAATAAAACAAGTACATTATCTAAAGATACTCAATTAAGTAAAATTGTAATTATTACACTTGAAATTGTTAAATATTTGTTACCATATCCTATGGTGTGAAAAATACATTTTAAACTGAATATGGGAATAATACTATAAGTATTTTATACGGTGCCTAACATTTTCGGTAGTCGGGACAAGTTACCATAGGTACCTAGTAAAACATTTGCTTTATCGCATCTACTTATATAATGGAAGAGACAAAGACGGGACGAACATCACGATTCATGGAGCATTTCGAAAACGAAAAGGTTTTCGGAGCCAATTGGAAAATCACAATCGCGTTACCCAAGGCGACAACATATAATAATACAAATAATAATAACAACAGCAACAATAAATCCGTCTGATTTTCGCAACCACCAGAACATTCGATTCCCAACAAATCATTGTGCGCGCCGCAGCGTGTGCAATACGAATAATATTATTATTATTTTCCATAATATTACACAATCGCTATAACACACACGACTTTGCCGGCGTAATTGTATTTTCCGACGAAAACACCAGCTGCACCGCGTTTTGTCGGTGCAGCGCACGTCTTTTCCGGGTAACACCCCGGCCGACTACTATTTATTATATCGTCCGATTGATTGCCCCTCGTCCACCGCGGTGCGGGCTAGACCTGCAGCAGAGAGAGTCGTATATTATATTATATAGACCGAACGTACGGATTCGATTCGTCGACGACCCTCGACTTCGTGTAGGCCCAGGCGGAAAACCCTTCGTCGGGTACACTCCGGTGGCGTCGCCGAGCGGACGGCGTGCAGAGGGTCGCGATCGGGGTAGGTAAGACGCCCGCGGTTTTTCGACCGAATAACATTATGATTCGCCGTCCGTTTACAGATTATTATTATTTTTCACAACGCACTGCAGGCGAGACACACACGT